TGAATAATGACCCCTGTCCTGGTGCCGGCCAATCCATCAGTGGAGGCCACATCCCTGAATGGACACACCTGGAAAGCTACAGAATATTCCATTCAGCTCTTCCCCTGGGACCTCCCCTGAAATCTCCACCCTTAAAACCTTTAGGAAGGAGGACCCAGTGCGCTCTCCCTCCCTGGAGCACATCTGTACCTTCCCCTTCCCCTCCATCTCCTCCTGCCCCAGGCAGGTTACCATTAGCTTGTGCTCCCAAGCTGCAAGGGCACTTTCTTTACCTCCTTAATGCCTTTCCTAAGCTCATTTCTTCTAAGAATTACTTCTCACACCTCTGTAATTTACCAAGTAAGTGTTCTCATACTCTTTGGGTCTTGTTCTGAATTCTTTTCTAGCCAGAACCCAAGTACCCAGGTTGCTGAACCCATGTTTGTTCTGAGCCCAGTCAGATACCTGGTGCCATTCCTGTTGCCACCACAGTTACACTGTTTAATCCAGCAATAATGAGATTTATCAGAAAACTGGGTTCCATCTGTCAATGTAAGAATCATTCAATCCTCATAAGAATTTTCGTGAGTTTATTTTCTGGAAGCAAAATGTCAATGGATTCAGATATTATTCCAGAGAATGTTAGTCTTGTACCTTACCTATAATAATAAATACGTAATATGCCAATTAGACCAGATGTCCTTTCGGACAAATCCGGGGCTGCGAGGGAAGCCTGGTCCCGGGTTCCAGAGGGAAGCTGGTGCCAGCAGCCAGGGGAAGGAAGGCCTACTCTTGCACGTTGTTGGTGCATTGGGCCTCTAATTTTATGTATTACAATCAGAAGAGAAGATACAAGTGGGTTACATGAAATCCACTGGTGATACATTAGGGCAGTGGTTCTCAACCTTCCTAATGCCTCCTCCCAAATTCCATTTATGAGGCCAGCATTACCCTGATTGCAAAATAGACAGGCCAATATCTCTGATGAACATAGATGCAAAAATCCTATTAGCAAACCAATCCAACAATAAGTTAACAAGATCATATGCCATGGTCAAGTGGGATTTATTCCCCACATGTGAGGTAGCTTCAACATTCTCAAATCAATCACCTGATACACCACATGAACAACAAGTCATATAATCATATCAATGAATACAAAAAAAGCATTTGACAAAATTCAGCATTCATTTATGAATGAAATTAACAGCGAGGTGGGGTTAGAGGGAATGTACCGGAACCTAATAAGAGCCATATATAACAAACCCTCTCACACAAAAATTAATTAATTAATTAAATTTTAAAAAAATTTAAAGAGCCAGTTTCCGGCTGGGCCATCCCCTTGTGGGATGCGGTGGGGGGTGGGGGGTTGGCAGTTGAGGCCACGCAGGTGGGACAGGCCCCAGGAATGGATCTGGGACCTCTACGTGCCTCTACCTTTGCCCCCAAGGCCAGAAACAGCCCCACCCTGGCTGGAGCCAGTGGTGGAGGGCCATGGTGGGGGAGGTCTGGGGCCCCAGAAAGCTCCAACCAAAGAGCGGCGGCAAGAATAGTGTTGGTCCCCACAAACCGCCCTAAGGCAAGCAATTCTTTTCTTATTTTTAAAAAAATAATTTTATTGATTTCTTACAGAAAGGAGGGGAGAGGAATATGGAGCTAGAAACATCCATGAGAGAGAAACATTGATCAGCTGCCTCCTGCACACCTGCTCTCTGCATACCTACTGGGACTGTGCCCGCAACCAAGGTACATGCTCTTGGCCGGAATCAAACGTGGGACCCTTCAGTCCACAGGCCGAGACTGAGCCAAACCAGTTAGGGCAGTTTTCTTATTTTTGTTTGAAATCTTGGATGATGGTTTCAAAGCTACTTG